TCTATCTATTTATCTATCTATCTATCTATATATCTATCTATATATATATATATTTATATATCTATATAGATATATATATATATATATATATATATATTGTATGGAAAGTGGCAGTAAACAAAAGCTACGGAAGTTTCCACGGATTCCTGAAAGCTGACAGTAAACTCAACGCATGGTCAAAGTATTAAACAATATGATTGGTTACATTACCTGTCAGTCAAAAGATCCCCATCTTGATTGGATACCGTCTCTGTCAATCAAGTAAATGCTATGTCGCGTACAAGGAAGGCGGTGCCAAACTCAGACGTAGAGACAGACAAGGCAGCGGCGTCGACACGGCAGTGTACGGTGACAGGGCGTTATCTTACATGATTAAAACACTAAACGAAGTGGGAGACTCACGCAGATCAAAGGAAACGCATTTAAGATACTCGTTCTGTCATGGAGTCCTATGACATTTTAGCTAACCAGCCGGTTGTGATTGATAATGTAAGTATGATGATGTCATTCATCCACACCCAAACCGAGGCCGCTAGCTGCTAGCCGTTTAGCTTCACTAACTATTGTGTTAAGGCTGACAGCATGCACAAATAAGCCCGGGTAAATGCATTACCCGTGCACCAGTTGCACGCACGTCTTTCCGTTTCCCCCCTTGTAATACAATCAGTAAAACTCAACATTTATGCTAAAGCTAGAGATTCTTGCAAGCCCCAGCTAGCTGCTAATCGGCCGGTGTGAGATGTTATCTGTCTGTCACTGTATTATCATGTCAGAATAATCCCGGGGTTTCAGTCCAGCCAAAATGAAAAGTATTCAACTAGTTCCATATAACCTGTGAAGAACACCTCACCAGACAGGTTGTTTCACTAAGTTGAGCTCCAGATACAGCTCTGCACTGTATATTGTGTTTACATGAGGCCAATTAGAACCGCACTATTTACTTGATAAAAGCCAAATGATGAATTATGAATTTCAATGCATTTTAGACATTATTATCATTATGTGTGTGAGATTTAAAAAATGATTAAAAATATTTTAGATAAGTTATTTGCAGATATCAGTTCATAAAGTTCACTCACTGTTGGTTGGTTGCACAAAATAATCTTTAAAATATCGAATATTTAGTCAAATTATATACTCAACATGCTTTGATGATTCATTAGGTCCTTTTTTATTTACTGTTATTAAAATGAATGTCATACAGCAAGACAAGTCACATAATTTGGTTGAACAGAGTTTTGTCAAAATTGGTGTGAAGTTGTGCCCCCCCACCCCGTCTTCCTCAATGAATGACTGATAATTGGGATTATCTGCTAATTGCCAAAGTCTGAAATTGTGTTGAGTCTGTCTCTGCTTAAATTGTTGCAAACAAGCTTCCAGATGTTTCGTCACATGTACACAGATCATTAATGCCAACCATGTGCAAAACACTTCTATCCTTTAGTTTCATACAATACTTATTTAATTTCACAGAGTCAAACCATTCAAGTCAATAAGAGCAATTCTTTGATTTACCAGTGTATACATTTTTTAATTCCACTGAATCCTATTTATATGTAGAAACTGTCAGCAGACTTTGAGATTTTGTTGTACCGACTCAACTTTTGGATGATCAGAAATTGGTAATTTATGTGGGTTATTTGCACTGTTACTGAAGCGCTGGGCCCATTTTGAGTCCAGTACGACACTTCGTGAGTAATTGATGTTCAGAAACACTTTGTTTGGAAGGTATTTGTTGTAAATGATTTTAAATGGCTCCTTTCATTATGCATATTGGTTGTTTTAGGTTTAAATATCAAAGAAAGAGTACAACTTTAATTAATCATTAAAAAAAAACACAAACAGCAAAGGCCTTAAAGGATAAAGTGTCTGTAGTCAGCTGTAGCATGTAGTGTGACTGCTGGTGGCCTCAGGCTGTCTCATGACCACTGTCTCTGAAGCCTACTGCACTGCATCTGTGTTTAACCCTGTGATGTCGAGCTCAACTCTCTTGTCCTCTCTGCAGGGTTCAGGAGTCATCAAGGCTGGTTTTGCAGGTGACCAGATCCCTAAATACTGCTTTCCTAACTAGTAAGTGTTCTTTAATCACCCCCTTCAAATCTCTTCTGCTCAGATATTTTATTAGACCATTTTTCAAACAGCATTGATTTATTTGAGTACTTGTTTTGAATTATAAAGACATTTACCTGATGAAACGAATCATCAGGTCAAAATCAACAAAATGTCAAACAAATGTCTTTAGGATTAAATACGAAATTAGCTAAGATTTTAGGATGTCTGTGCACTAATTTGTAATTGTGTGCCTATATGTGGTGGAATGACAAATTAAGAACTTTGAATTTGTGTGCAGTGTTGGACGTCCCAAACATGTGCGTGTGATGGCTGGAGCCCTGGAGGGAGACCTCTTCATTGGACCTAAAGCAGAGGTAACACAGACACACAGCACTTTCTGCATTGGGATGCTCACAGGACAATGGTATTTAGAATTCTTAAGAAAAGTAATGAGCCACGCCATGTGAAGGGCGTTCATTAATTGTTGCATTTTGTAAAATTTTACAAACAAAAGTAATTTTTTCATTTAAATAAACATATCTAGAGGAAACTAGGGGTTGCACGACTTCATATTTTTAAAAGTTTTCTAAAGTGATCGACTAGTCGCTAGGGGTGCAGAAAAAAATAGTTTTTTCGATGAATCTAGATTCTTAGTCCTGGCGATTCTGAATCGTTTCTAAAGGTCCAAAAATCGATTTTAAAATGCATTTAAGTTTTATATTTTTTTCCGCTCCTACTCCCCGTTCGGCCGCCATAGAATTGAGCCTTGTAGGCCACCGTACAGCAAGCTAGTTAGCCAGCTCCCTTTATCTGAATGGAGCCTGCTAGCATGGAGGAGGGAGGCAGCGCGATTCAACCCACTGCTTCGTCTTTAGAAATCATTTCTGATCCTACAATGTTCTGGGGAAGACAGAGCTCCACAAGAGCACAGTTGTTTACAAGAAGTGTAAGATAAAATTGCGGTACAGTATTTTGGAAAGAAGACAAAATTCACGGAAGATGAAAGTGAAGCAGCTGACCAGCGAACTCCGCAACAAACTTCCAGGCTTCTCCAAAAGGCTGTGAAGAGTTCCCTCCATCTCCTGCTGCATCACTAAGGATTTATGAGCAGACAGCTCAGTGGAAGGTGAGAGGTTCAGGTTATTTTTAATACGATGGATTCAATGTACGTTATTCCTTCATGTAGATATATATATATATATATATATATATATATATATATATATATATATTTTTTTTTTTTTTTTTGTGATAAAGCAGCATTGCAACTTCACCATGAAACAACAAATGGGAGAAGCTCTGATGCAGCTGCAGCTCAAAGGTAAATGTTATTTCTCATATTATACTAAAACTTATAGACAAGTTGTACAACAAACTTTATGTAATTTGTCTTTTTAACAGGTTGAAGAGGACAGATGAGCCATCACCTGGAGCCAGTTCTAAATGATACGGTTTATAAATTACAGTTCAGAAGTTTTTGTGCAAACTTGCACAGGTTTTGAAATTTTGTTCAATATTGACTAAATATGAATCAATATGGTTAAGACTGAAGTCTGTATATTTCATATTAGGTTAAGTTTTGAAAATGTAACAAATGTTAGAGCAATATGGTTAAAAATAACTGAAGTCTGTATTTTATGTTGAGTTAAAGGTTAATGTACTATGGTAGGCTGAAGTCTGTTTACTTTTATATTTATATATTTTGAATTATTTGTCTGTGATGGACTGGAGACATGTTGTCCCCCACCTCTCACACAGTGATGGCTGATATGGGCACCAGTGACACCTGTGACTTGAAAAGGAAGAAGTGGATAAAGATGATGGATGGATGAATTATTTGTTCCTAGATTTTTATTTTTTTTATTTTTTTAGAAGAATTCAGGCAACTAAGCTAATCTAATAACTGGTAATTTAAGTTACAGAATTGTATGCACTCCTATATTTTTTTCTTATTTTTGGTATAAATATAAAATGAATAAAAAATATTTGATACAGTAAGGAACCTAAAATGATTTTTAAATAAATGTTTGATTTCTTTACATTGTTGTTTAATCTTTTCAGCTTGTCAGTTACATAATTGAAACAAAATTTATGACCATTTCAATAGAAAAATCATTTCTGAATCGAAAAATCGATTTTAAATCGTATCATGACACCAAAAATCGGAATTGAAGCGGATCACCAGACACAAAGATTCGCACCCCTGATAGTCGCTGTGACAATATCTCAAGTTGCTATATCATATTTGCAAAAAAACATAATTTATTACAAAACACCATTGGGAGCATATATTTATGCTCCTACCATTTATCATACTGCAAATAAGTCACAGGAAAACCAAAACTATTATTAAGCTGCAAAAGTGAAAGAAACGCGCAACACGTAAAATGGGGGTGGGCGGCAGTAGTGGAATCCACCACAGTTGGTGGATGCCAAGATTTTGCATGTTACAGTAGTTGAACTGGAAGAGTCATTGTTGGTGAAATCCTTCCACACTGTTGATGAATTTCTACCTATATGCCGAGACTTGGCCTGCTCCTCGCCTTCCGTCTGCTTGGAAGAATCCATTTGGTAGCCAGCGCTGATCACGTGACACAATCACGCAACTGCGACTAGTCGATGTGAAATTCAAATTGTGGGATGTCCTAGAGTCGACTAGTCGATTAATCTCCCACAGGAAACCAGTTCATTCTCACATTATGATACAGCCACTGCCATGCTTCCTAATAAGAATGAACTGCATAATTAGTTTTCCTAAAATAAATATATGTGCAAGCTTAAATGTGCATATTAGTCTGCATTCAAGAAACTGAATAAAATTGAACCGATTCTAAATCTTCAATGAAGGCATTCAGCACAGAAGTGTCAAGACATGTTTAATTTTTTTCCTCACTCAGCTCAGTCTAAATTTGGAGCAGCCACAAACAAAGCAAGTCATTATTACTGAACAGTAAGACGTCAGATAAAGGAAACGACCGTAGGTTCTCATCCTGAACAGTAGGGCTGGGTGATATGGACCAAAATTAATATCTCGATATTGTAAGATGAATGGCGATATACGATATATATATATCAATATTTTTTTCTTTCCATAAAGTAATAACAAAAATATATTTCTGCGTCAAACCTTTGTCCCAGTTGTCACACAGGCACCTTTATTAACAAAGCTGTAACTGTACAAAATAAATGTCTAAAAAATTATATATATATATATATATATATATATATATATATATATATATATATTCCTTCATAACAAAACCCAAAACGCAGCTTGTGCACTTAAAATTTAAACAGAACACATACAGAGCAACTGACTTGCACTTTAAAAAGTCTGTTTCTAATGACGTCATTTCATTCAGCCTTTAATAACCTTTATTAACAAAACTGTTAGAAAGCTCACATCGTTGTGTAGTTGACTTGTTTACTGTTCTGTTTGTTTATGGCTTGTGTCTTTCTGAATTTCATAGTTCCTATGCTCTTGAATGCACTGTGGCTTTTCCGACGCATGTGAACGCACCGCTCTGTGTAAAGTGCAGAGCTGCGTGTGTCGGTCAGAGTTTGTTTCTCTCCCGACACGGACGTCGCCTTGCTGCTTTTGTCGAGCTTCTGTTTGCACTTTAAACTGCTGCGTGTAAATACCAGAAGAAACGCAGCAAATAAATCATCCTAAATGTTGGTTACGTACTGTAACCCCAAATTCTATGAGTATAGGCATAGCCCTTTAAGTGCTGTCGCTAGTGGGTTTTATCCCATCATGCAAAGCATTACACTGAAAAGTTTAGTCCACGCCCACCTGCTGCGTGTAAATACCAGAAGAAACGCAGCAAATAAATCATCCTAAACTGAATATTTGTCTCCATGATTTTTAATGAGAAGACCTCTTCATACCTTGCCACTCAACCTGTTCATTTCCTGGAGAACACCAAATCTCTGCTTTGTAGCAGCTACCCAGTCATTTTAACACCTAGCGCGATAAAACAATAAATCATTTAATCGCATGATGAATGAAAATTATCGACCTCATTTTCATTTACCTGCTTGATAGTTTCTTCGTGTCTCTTTCTACTGAAGACACGGCTCAACTCCGGTGCTCTTCACTGACCCCTCCGTTTCTCTTTTCTCTTTAAAATCTGTTTTAACCGTCCAAAATCGTGTTCTTGGATCGCTAAAAGCAGCTAAGCTGAGCAGCTAAGCTACGAACTAAGCTAACAGGCCGACCTGAGGAAAAAAACCTCTGTCTTGTCGAGCTCCAAAATTCACGGTTGAAACCCGTGCCTTCGTGTAAAAGTTGTTTTTCTCAGCAAAAAGAGGCTGAGAACTTGTTTACTGACTTTTTTGTTAAAAGCTTTGTGTGAAAAATGCTAAAGAGCTCAAATCACCGAGCATCCGCCATGTCAGCCCATGTCACGTCAAGTGCCCTCCCTCCCATTTTTCTTAGAGACGCTGTTCAACCATCCCTCCTTCAGTTCAAACAGTCTTATACTGCCATCATGTGGTCAAAAAAGGTACTACATTCCAAACAAATCAACATTTCTTTTAAAATTTGACAATTCATTATTGTTAAATTTCACGCAATATTATTGTTTATCGCAATATTTTCTGAGACAATTAATTGCCCAGCAAAATTTGTTACCGTGACAGGCCTACCTATCAGGAACACTGTGAGACAACAAAGATATCTGTATATCTAAGCTCAGCTTTATAATTCAAATAGTCTTCAGCTGCAGCAAGCGGCGGTGGAGGGGTGGGTTTGTATTCAGTGAGGGAGAGGGGGGGTGACATTAAGGTGCAAACTGGCAGGAAAATCTGGCAGATTTTCAAGTATAATTATAATTCTAGTTAGAGTAAAAGACTATCGTTTTATATTGATACTCATTTTATATCACGTATGAAATTATATAGATATTTTCAAAATATCAAGATATCGCCCAACTTTGGGATTAATAAAGCATTTTTGAATTGAATTGAACTGAACAGACCAAATTAAACCATTATTCCCAGCTGAACACAAGTAAACAAGGTTAAATAGGCTAAAGAGAAGCAGCCATGATGGGATAACTGATCTTCAGCGATAAACCACCAGTTTGCTTTGAATGAGGCGGTGATGCTTGAACTTTTAGTTTGTTGCGGGTCTAATGAAACCTGTAACGATAACTGTGAAGAAAACTAGCACTTTTTCATGGTCATGATTTGTAGAAAGAAGTGACTCTTTCCTAAATACTCGAGAGCTTTCACTTGTTTTTATTTCATTCTCATAAAATAACACCGCTGACACAGTGTTTTTGATTGTCAGTAGGTTCTTAAGATGACAGACTAAACACGCCCGTGGCTTGTTTTGATCAGGAACACATTCACCACGAGTGAAAAGCTTTGGGTCCCACAGTTTAAATCTAAATTGAAAATCACTCAAAGAAAAATGCACCCAAGAGGTGTTATTTGTTTAGCGTCACACTGGATACCTGTCATCTTGTATGATTTAAAACAGTTTTTATGCTGAAACTCAATGGGTTTAAGACGTTTGTTGCTTTCAACAAAACCTGATGCGTGTGATTGAAACATTTTGTGTCTCAGTCCTCAAAGCAGGATGAAGTTGTTAATGTTTCTTGTGTTTCTCTCCCCTTCAGGAGCACAGAGGCTTGTTGTCAGTGCGCTACCCGATGGAGCACGGGATAGTGAATGACTGGAACGACATGGAGAGAATCTGGCAGTATGTTTACTCCAAGGAGCAGCTGCAGACCTTCTCTGAGGAGGTGAGCTCCTTTTCAGATGCTGCGTTTCATAGTTGAGGTTTTGGAGCGGCAGTAATCGTGTTCTTTGGTTTCCTTTGTAGCATCCTGTGCTGCTGACCGAGGCTCCCCTCAATCCCAGCAAGAACAGAGAGAAGGCTGCAGAGATTTTCTTTGAGACCTTCAATGTTCCTGCTCTCTTCATCTCCATGCAGGCTGTGCTGAGCTTGTAAGGGCTTAGAACTTGTGTAGTAGTTGCATTCATTCAACCTTTATTTAGACAGATAAATAACATTGAGCTTAGAAGTCTCATTTATAAGTGAGATCTGTTTAGACAGACAAAAAGTAGTGAAACTGGACACATGTAGGAATTGCATTCTGCCTGTAGAGGGCGGTGTAATCATATTTGCTGGTGAAGATAGTCATCCGTCCAGGTCATGATGCATCCAAAAAAGGAGTTAAAATCAAAAACAACTGTACTTCTATTCTATAGCTGAAGATGTTTCACTTCTGGGAGGCTTTTTCAATCGAAGTCCATTAGTTTTTATTTTTAACCCCCTTTTTATGTAACTATATTTATCCTTTATTTCTACATAGGAGTGACAAGTATGGATATGATTAGGAATGAGATCATCAGAGGTACAGCACAGGTTGAACAACTGGGAGATAAAGTTAGAGAGACCAGGCTGAGATGGTTTGGACATGTCCAGAGGAGGGACAGTGGGTACACTGGTAGAAGGATGTTAGAAATGCAGCTGCCAGGAAAAAGACAAAGAGGAGATCTATGGATGCAGTTAGAGAGGACATGTTTATTTTTCCTCTCTGAAACAGTTCCAACAGAGTACAAATAGAAGTCAGCCCTCTGTTTGTAAAGAAAAATATAAAACAAGAGTCAAAATGGATTTGACACTCTGCTTTATGCAGGTACGCTACAGGCCGCACCACAGGTGTTGTGTTGGATTCTGGCGATGGTGTAACCCACGTCGTGCCCATCTACGAGGGCTTCGCCATCCCTCACTCCATCATGCGTGTGGACATTGCAGGCAGGGACATCTCACGGTACCTCCGTCTGCTGCTGCGCAAGGAGGGCTACAACTTCAACACGTCTGCTGAGTTCGAGGTCGTTCGCACCATCAAAGAGGTGAAGTGGCTGCTGGGAAAAGATTTCAAATTGAAACAGCTAATTAGTGTTGGATTTGTCTCATCAAACGTGTTCCTAACTCAACAGAGAGCCTGCTACCTGTCCCTCAACCCACAGAAGGACGAGACTTTAGAAACAGAGAAGGCTCAGTACGTCCTCCCAGACGGAAGCACTTTAAACGTGAGTCCAGCAGACCTTGAGGTGTTTTCGAACAAGTGCAATACTTACAACTCCTGGATGTATACACATAACACTAACTGTGACCTCACTGTTTGCAGATTGGCCCTGCGAGGTTCCGTGCACCAGAACTGCTGTTCAGACCCGACCTGATCGGAGATGAGAGCTCGGGGATCCACGAGGTCTTGGCCTACGCCATCCAGAAGTCTGACCTGGACCTGCGACGCACACTCTTCTCCAACATTGTGTTGTGTGGGGGGTCGACACTGACCAAAGGTCTGTGTTGCATGAGCAGACTGAAGCCAAAGACTTCTCATCTTATATTAACCAAAAGATTCACAGAAAATGACAATTGTCTATAATACATAAATTTATTAACAACAAAGACAATGAAACACAACTGAAATGGTGTTATTTGGTTCATCTGATGTTATCATTCACTGAGTTTTTCTTTTTTTAAATTTTCAGGTTTTGGAGAAAGACTACTAACTGAAGTCAAGAAACTTGCACCCAAGGATGTGAAGATTAAGGTTAGTCCACTTTGTTTTTGTTGCCATCCTCTGCATGAAGTGCTTCGTTTGAGATTCCTCCTTCTATAAGTCGAAGTTTCTTTGACATTGTGTGCACAGGGTCCCAGCTACATCCAACTAAAGTGTAAATTGTAAAGAAAAACAGTGATACGTTCTAAGATATGATGTAAGAAATACTCTAAAAATACACTAAGCACTAATAGTACAAAAACAATACGTCGAACAGCAGCAGCACGATAATGTATTCAAACCATAAAGCTGCACTCCTGAAGCTCTGAGCCTGCTCTAATCATTGACTGGTGAAAAAATGGAAAATTATGACGCGGCTGCTCAGGCCTTCATTAATAATAATAATAATAATACTGTATTATGTGTTATCGTATGTTCCCATACAATAACGAAATTAGTTCTGTGCATTTAAGCCATTGCACCTGGGATGCACCCAGGTGGAGCAGTGGGCAGCTATGGAGGCGCCCATAATAAGATGTGTCAGCCAAGGCTGGAGACAAGTGTGTTACCTGATAATACTGACAGGAAAAATCTAGATTATGTGTGTTTGTGCTAATTCAAGATATTCTGACACAGTTCTATAATCTTTAACTTTTACTAATTTGCATTTAATAATGTATGAATATTTTAGTACCACATCCTGAGGTGGCGTTTGTTGTGAATTCACAATATGGAAATGAATCGAACCAAATTACTAAACTTATGTGCAGTTTGTTTTCATAAGGCTTGTGTACATTCTGACTTGTTTTCATTTTATTTTTCTGCTTCTGTAGATCTCTGCTCCACAAGAACGGCTGTACTCCACATGGATTGGGTAAGGGTTCAGAGCTCATCTGTGTTTATAAAACTAATTGGAAATTAAAGTGAAACAGGAGTTTAAAATGTGCAGAGGCAGTTGTGAACAACTGTGCACTCCAAATGCATCTCAATACCTTTAAAAACAATAAAAGAATAACAAGTTGTTTACATGCATTTCCAATCTAAAACAAATGGATTAAAACATTGAATATACTTTATTAGGAAAGTGTGTCTTTGGCTCAAAGAGTCTTTCTCTGTTTGAGTCTTGTTAAATGAGCAGTAGTGTCTTTGATGGACGTGAAGCCTCACATCAACTCATCTGAGCCCTCAGAGGAGACTGATCATAAAATATTAAAAGAGCGACTCATTTGTGCCGTTTGCTTTACAGCCTCCTATTAATATTGCATCTTACAAATTTGCACTTGTTGTAACAGACTTTTTATGACTCGAAGTTAAAACCAATGCATTTCTTCATCTAAACTGTCCGTCGTGTACATTATTTTTCACCTGGTTTGGGATAAATAAACTGCTGTGTGCACTGCAGCCAGCAGGTGGCAGTATAAGCTACATAAGATGAACTAAATCAGAAGATTTAGCCAGGCACAACAGAGAAATGTAATCAAGAATTGTTTTGAGCACCCTTTCATTTGGACAGTAGTATGTAATGTAATGTACAAGGGAGATTTATGTATAAAAACCTTATTTAGCAAATAGACTAGTGCTGGGAAAGTAGGACTGTAAAATGTTTGCTTCACATTTCAGAAGTATAAAACATGAGAAGAGTTTTAGAGTGAGCACCGTGGTGTACCTGCCATTTATATTTAAGGACAGAGATGTGTCCTCATCCCTGTGTTGACTCTGACCTCTCGTCCCGCAGCGGCTCCATCTTGGCTTCACTGGACACCTTTAAGAAGATGTGGGTGTCGAAGCGAGAATATGAAGAAGACAGAGCACGCGCCATCCACAGGAAGACCTTCTAGGCGAGGGCGTTTGCCGTGCCAATGCCAACCCCCCTTCTCCCCTCTCAGAACTGCTCTCACCCTTCCCCCCCCCAAACCACTGGAGATCTCCCCCGTGGGTACCTGCGCATCGTCTTTTATCAACCCAGCTTCTAAACACTTGTGGGCCTACTCCATAACTCCCCAAAACACACTTTCATGTGTGCTGGGGCCTGATGTTCCTCCCGCCATCGAGGGTGGCAGCCACTCCGTCCCCCCATCCCATCCCAAACATTCACAAACGGAGGGCCAGCGGGGCGTCTCGGAGGGTGACGGTTAGACCTGTGGACTCTTTTCTGCTCTGAGTTCACGTTGAAGTATTGGTGTTGCTCTCTTGCCTCCACAGCCCCGTGAGGTGTAGATTATCATCAAATGACAAGAAACCTTAATTATTATTTTTTTGTTTGCTACTGTTGACATTTCCATTCCAGACCGAAGAGTTTGAATTTTTATTTTTTGTTTTGTAGAATTATTTTCCCGACAATTGGCTCTTGCACAACAAAGGTTTGAAGTTCTACATCTGTTCTATATAGTGCTAGTAAATTAAAGATCACCAGTGGATTATAATCTGCACTGTTCTGTCTCACTGCAGCATCAACGTGTTAATTTATCATCCAAAAGACTGAACTGAAGTCGCCTCTTAACTTTCTATGAATCTGTTTGTGTGGACACGACAGCTGATATTTATGTCCAAAAGTTCGTGGCAGATTTTTTTGTCTCAGCTTTTTGTTGAAGCTGACAGATTAAAACATGTGAGAAATGCTTCGATTATTGATTTTTGTTTTATTTTTTAAAACGTTTTCTCCAGGTTCCACGTTTATTGGGAGAACTGAAGCATCTTTTCTGTTCACTGGTCTTGTATTTGAGTGTGCGCTCTACGTCTCTGCTGTCCAGCGGTAACGAAGCAAAGGTTTATGTTTTAGTAAATAAGAAGTTTGTTTACTCATAAAGCCAACACATTCAGATATCCTCAGAATATTGGGAAATAAAATTGATCCAAGCAGAAAGTATCAGCACAGATTGAAACTTGAGCTCACAATGTGCTGCAGAGACGGGGCCCCACTTTTTAATTCAGGCATTTTGCTGGACTGACGATTAGCCTTATTCCTTCCTGTGCTTCAGTAAAACTCCACATTTGATTATTTCCTTGCGTCTCTGGCAGTGAAGTGGTCGTCCACACTCGTGTTTGCCTTGTTTCGCTGGAGAGTCCACTTCGTCTGCTTTTGGGTGTTTTTAAACAACAAAAACCGAAATGAAAAAGTGGTTGTAAAATATCAGCCTTGTGTAAAGTGAAACGCTTTTCAAACTCAACCATCCACAAGCACCACAGATTAAATATGTACAAAACTTTATTCAAGTTACTTTGACTTTTCGTACATTCGGTGTAATAAATAAGTTAACGGCTGCTGCTTGGACCATTTTCATTCTATTGAAGCTTCTTACAACAATATCTGTTCAGCTCTTGCTCATTTCATGGAGAAACATTTTATCTACTGCTTGTTGACTTGGTCAAATATAACCAGTGGTTTTTTTTCCAGACATTATTTTGTTGAACAGAAACTAATACTGTAGCTTACCTTAGATGCCCCTGCATTGAGTGGGATTAAGTGTTGCTATTAAAATGGTGTCAGTGCCTCTTGGACAGTACATCTAAAGAGTACTGTATATTCCAGAGTATAAATCTCATGAGTCAAAAAAGCATGACGAGGGGGAAAAAAGTCGCTTCGGCGTACAAGTCATTTATACGTCACCATTGACCCGTCGCGTTTAGGACTTTAGGTCTCTGACTTTATTTAATGGTCAGAACAGCTTCATTTAGCCTTGGTGGCACGGCGCCATCCATTCATCCATCGTGGCCGAAGCCACTAGCTCTCCAGCGTTCCTCCGCCTGCACCAGCTGAGTGAAGCGAGCGCGCACGGGAGGACTCGCTGTAGCAGTTCTTCAAAATTTAAAGTGTCAGTCAAAAATTGCGTTATGAATATGGAAGAAAAAAAACGCTCAAGTCGCAGGACTGACAAATTATTGAAAAAGCTGCGACTTATACGCTAGAAAATACGGTACACCTTCCTTTTAAAAACTCACTTCAGGCAAATGTAAAAAGTATATGTACTCTGCTGACAGGCAGGAACGACTGAAGTGTAATGAGAAATCCTAACCTGATGCAGGATCGTTTGTAGGATGGCTCTCTGACACCGACGATGAGGTGACCTGCTGTCTCATCACTCCTGCCACATTTATTACACAACCTTACAGAGAGTTTGATATTTACATCCTCATCCTGGATGATGTGTCTACAAATGTCTTTGCCGTCGACTCCTTTTTACAGATATTTATCTGTAAAAACTACATCTTTCAGATTTCTGTAATTTTGCTGGTGTTAGTTTTGGCAACTGAATTAAAAATAGATTTTCACTAACGTAGCACTAAAACTATTATAAATATAGTAATGTACAAAGGTTTTAAACACTTGGATTTATTGATATTTTTGCTCTAAGAAGCCAGACTCTCTTGTAATTTCTTTAAATGGTCTTCATCAAGAGTTTTCCAAACTTTTTGAAGGACTTCCAAAGTGCTTCTTTGGACAAAAGTTGCTTTTTTCTATTTTTCTGAACAGTTTTTGAACCTTACTGGACACCACAATAAGCAGGGTGTGATTCAAAGAATGAAAGTGGAAAAGATGGGAAGAAAAGGAGTGCCAGGATTAAAAACAGATGAGAACGGTATTCAAAGATTTTTTTTTATTAAACAAAAGAAAATGCAGACCTGTGAGGTGCATTATCCTTCATCTGATCAGCTAGTCCATTACAGGTTTTCAACATAAAACTCTAGAAATGACCTTGTAGATGGTAATGCATGTTTTTATGGCTGTCAGACTGTATTGTATTTGATATTTTTTAATTTCAACAAATGATGACTTTATTGCCTGATTGCAAGTGAAGCTAATGTTTTGCCTGGACAGATTTGAAGGAAATGCTCATGAAGTACTTATTGTACAACTTCTGGAGGCAACTCGGAGTAAGATGGCCGCTTGGCTAAATGACGAGCAAACACAGAAATGTCAATGATGGAGCCATTTTTACAGACATTAAGGTAAAATTTGGAGTGTTAGCTGCAAGCCTTTCAAAACACATACTTAGCACTCCCTGATTGTAGATTTGTCGCTATCGTATAGATTTTAACTATTGGAGTCAACTCTTTCTGTCTGGTAGCAAAATATCCCATGAACCACTGGATGGATTTTAACGAAACTCCCAGAAGTGTATAATTATTGTGAGTTCATCAATAAACTTAACGTTTCAATCCAATTCAAGCTGGCTGCAGCTGCTAATCAACTGTAGCAAATACACAAAAACAAACCAATATTATCATAATCAGCTCTTTTTTTTTTAAGCCATTCTCATGGGAAAGTACATAACTTCTGCTAACATTAAACATACAAACGTTTGAGTAGTAACATGAACGTTGCTCGGTGAAGAATGCAGCAACAAACCAGTCTGTGTCGTGCAAAAGTGAATTGAATGGTAGATAATTTAGAGTTATTTCACTCATGCAATTTTTAAAAGAGTAATTTTATAGGCTTGTAAAACAATTGAAACACTTGTCACTTGTTTGAATAGCCTTTGGCCTAACCTGGATGAAGACTTTTGCCTCTTTCTTCTTGCTTTGTGACTATAGGGTCATGGCTGATAATAAACCTGTTTGATGGAACATCATCAATGAGCATCAGTGAAAATCATCAATTTCCTTCTGTCATTAAAGTCTGTCCAATAGTTCACGAGATATTTTGGTAACAGACACACAAACACTGGCACACACACTTACGGACAAAAAAAAAAAAAAAAAAAAAGAGTGTCCATTTCCATCTTCTACCATTTAGCTGTTTGGGTTGTGAAGGCAACAGGTCCAGGAGAGAAACATCTCTCTCCCCAGCAACACTCTCCAGCTCCGCCTGGGGGAGCCTGAGGTGTTCCCAGACCAGAGAAGATAATCCGTCCAGGGAGTTCTAGATCTGCTCAGGGGCCTTTTACTAGTGGGACAGTCTGGAAACCTCCAAAGAGATGTGTCCTAATCAGATGCCTGAACCACCCCAGCTGTCTCTACTCTGAGCACCCCTGAGTGACGGAGCTCCTCACCCTCATTCAAACATTATCAGACTTTGCTTTGTGGTGGTGGGCAATATTTCAACAGAACCAAACAGTGATCCAGTGAAGAAGACGTTTGTCGTTGCAGCAGAATGAGTCATGAACACACAACCCCGATTCATCTAACGGACAACAGTCACATGATTTATTGATTTATGAAAATAACTGCACTGCAGGGTTTTGATCAAATGGAGCAACAAAGTTGAGACGCGAAGATGTGAGAGTGAGAAATCGTTTAATCAGGCCCCTCTGCATGGATCCGCCGCTTGTCTGTGAAAAATGGAACAAAGATCTTCAGCAGTCTGAAGTTTGGCACATTGACACCAATCATCGATGCTCTTTAATCCTCTCTCTTGCGGCAGGGCCTTGAAATCTGGCAGCACTGTGGAGACAGTTGCTGTGTGGAAGAGATAAAAGAGCAACCTAAGAGTCTTCTCAGGACTTCAACCGTGCATGGAAATGTGGAGAACAAGAGCGTTTCAGGAGCGTGTCAATCAATACAAGAACACAGACGTGCAACTCGCCACAGAATGTCAGCATCATCACCACACTCATCTCACCAACGAGAAGTTTGTTTGGCTTCATTTAATAAAACTCAAATTTAATGGAGAAGTAGCAGCTTACAGACAAAGTTATCTCAGAGCATCATATAAAACACGACCCATGGTCCACCTCTGAAAACAACGGGAAGGAGTAATGCTGTGGATTGTCTTGTGCATGTTCCCTTGCCTATATGT